GGGTTGAATTGCCACTTAATGCCTTTGTTGGCAAGTAAATTAAATATCTTTGAAGCACTAGATTTACTTGTTAATAATCTGTGATATTCATTCAGTTGGCTTTTGGCACCAATAAAGTTAGTTCCTCTGTCACTAGTGATTGATACACACATGCCTCTTCTAGCGACAAATCGGTAAAACGTAGCTAAAAAACTATCTGTACTGAGTCCAGAAGCAACTTCCAAGTGTTCTGCTCTCGTTGGAAGGCAAATAAATAAACACAGATACGATTTCAATTGCTGAGGTTTTCTACGTTTGTCTGATTTTGTAGTAAATGGGCCAGCAAAATCAACTGCACAGTTGATGAAAGCTCTATTCTGTTGTAATCTGACTGCTGGCAAGTCCGACATAAATGGTGTAGGCAAAGATTGTCTGAACTTGAAGCATTTGAGGCACTTGTGTATTTCTTGACGAATTGCTCGACGTGCAGACAAGATCTAAAAGGAGCGTTGAATTGCTGACTGAGTAACTTGAGGCCCTGAATGTAAATGTATCTGATGATAATGCTGAATTGTCAAGACAGTGAGATGACAACATTTAGGGAGTATTGCAGGATGTTTTCTCACATAAGGTAGAGATGATTGCCGAATCCTGCCACCAACTCTCAAAATGCCTGTATCATCTAGGAAAGGATCAAGTTTTCTTAGTTTAGACTTACAATGTTCACCCTTTTTCAAAAGTTTTATTTCATCCTTGAAGAAGTGTTCTTGTGTTTGTTTAACAAATCCAAACAATGAATCGTTTAGTTCTTGCAAAGTAAGATTACCACTTGTCCTATTTGACTTAGACAAGCGACAATTTTTAATGAAACGAGTACAGCATGCTCCAATGCGTTGTAGTCTAGTAAGTGAGGAGAATCGTTCAATAAATTCAAAAGATTTGGTCTCAGTTGTGTTAAGGGAAACTTGCAAAGGTAAACTTAACTGATTCTGGGATGGGCTGTTTAGGCCATTCATCCTCATCTTGAGAAAGCCATGATGGGCCATGCCACCATAAAGGATGTGTTAAGATCTGTTTAGGTAACATACCTCTTGAACCACAGTCAGCAGGATTTTCAGCAGAGCAAACATATTTCCAATCAGATGGAGAACTAATTTCTTGAATTTCAGTAACTCTATTGGCTACAAATGTTTTCAAAAGATGAGGAGACATTTTTATCCAAGATATTACAGTTAGAGAATCACACCAGCAATATATTTTTATGAGTTCAAAGTGATTACTTAAAAATGTTCTCAACATTTTCAACATTTTGCTCAACAAATGAGCACCACAAAGCTCTAATTTTGGAACTGAGACTCTTTTCAAGGGCGAAACCTTTGTTTTTGCCATAATCAGTTGAGGATGTTTATCACCATGTTCTGTTTTAGAGCTGAGATACACAACTCCACAATAACCATTTTCTGATGCATCAGCATCACAAAATCCATGAAGCTCACAGGAAGATGAAGAATGATGCAAGTAACGAGGCAATGATAGGTTTTCCAGTTCAGGAAGTTGAAATACAAAATCTCTCCATGATTATTGTAACGAAGGAGGCAATAGATCATCCCAACCTGTACCTAAAGTCCACAACTGTTGCATTAGATGTTTAGCCCAAAATATAACAGGACTCACATAGCCTAGAGGGTCAAATATTTTTGACAGACAGGACAATACACCTCTTTTAGTAAAGGGTGAAGAATTTAAGGACTGTACATCAACATGAAACGTAAAAACATCTAGTTTAGATTCCCATTGGATGCCTAAAACCTTTATAGTCTCCTTATCATCACCATCAAAACGTAACGGAACTTCTTGATGCTCAATAGGGATTTCTGAGAGAAAATCCGCTTCATTACTTGACCACTTCCTAAGTTGGAAGCCACCATACTTTAGAATCTCAATCAGTTGATTTCTTATAACAATAACAGAGTCAAGAGAATCAGAAACAGTTACGATATCATCAACATAGATATCATTCATCAAAACTTTTGCTGCTAATGGATATTTGTTTCTTTCGTCCAAAGCTAGCTGTTGCAGACTTCGAATTGCCAAAAATGGAGCCGATGACACACCATAAGTCACAGTGTTCAACATATAAGTCTGTAAGGGTTCAGAAGGAGTGCCACGCCAAACAATAGCTTGATACGGTTGATGTCTACTATCAAGTAGATGTCGATACATTTTGCATATATCTGCAGTAAAGGTGACCAGATGCATTCTAAAGTTCAAAATAACTTCCATGATATTTTTTGGAGTTTCGGACCAATAAGCAGATTATCATTGAGTGATTTACCGTTTGAAGTCCTGGCTGATGCATTAAATACAACTCTCAGCTTAGTAGTAGAGCTAGTTTCTTTAAACACTGGATGATGTGGAAGATAACAATTAATTTTGTCAACCTCACCATGAGGTACAAGTTCCATATGGCCTTTTATTGTTATATTCATGAATGAACTTAGAATATTCTTTTCTTAAGGGAGTCTTGTTTACATAGTTTACGTTCTAAGTTTCTGAAACAAGAAGCAGCATACCCAAATGACTCTCCAATCTTGGGGTCTTTGTCTTTAAAAGGGAGCGGAACTATGTATCTTCCTTCTTGATTCCGTTTTACAGCATTACAATAGATCATCTCACATTTTTCTTCTTCAGGGTTAACTGATGCATGGACTGGGATTTCTTCTAATTCCCAAAATCGTCTAAGTTGATCATCTAAAGAATATTCAATAGTTACAAAATTGGAAACAATAGATGAAACCTGTTCATATGGCTGTATTTTGCCTTTAAAATAAGTTGGACCCATCAAAATATATCCGAAACTACTTTGGTAAGGAACGGGGTAACCTTTGGGAGCAGGCATCCGCCCGCCATCTATTACCTCAGGGTACAAGTCTGCACCCAACAAAAATTCAATTTTTCCTGGTACGTCAAAAGTAGAATCTGCAAGTTCTAAATGTTTGTATCCGTCTTAATATTATTTATTTAGTATGGTAGGACTACTACGATTATAAACAAGCTAATTTTATAGTTTAAGCAGGGTGCTCAGCCAGGCAGCGACCACATAGTACAAAATGTACTATGTTTGGACTATGTTGTTTGTAGGCCTACTAAGTAGTCGCTGCCGCCAGGGATGAAGTACTATTGAAATCCCTAAGTTGGTAATCCTGACAAACTACCAGCAACCACTTAGATGGCTTTTAAGATGTCATCACTGCCACTGCCGCCGCAGGGTATAAGAGCAGTTTTAAGACAGATATGTACATGGTTTGTCTTCGTTTATTCTCATACGAGACTCCTAGTAGTAGTGTAGAAAGATACAAAACCGATAGTGTGTGCAATCCCAAACATGCTTTGCAAAAATCATGCCACCCAGAGTTACATTTGTTAGTGTGATGCCGTCAGGGCCGTATTTAGCATTTTGGCGCCCCTACGCCCAAATAATTTTCCGCCCCCTAGTCTGGTCACAGTTAATTTCCTTCAAACCTTTATTTAAAACTATATCATGCCCCTAGGCCTAAGTTAATTGCTTGCTTGAATACCACTCCACGTCAGAATTTTATCATTGCAAGTTATTTGAAGAATTGACTTGTTTAGCTTTAACAATATGCCGTCCTAAACACTTTTAGCAATTTTATGCTTTTAGTAAATGCTCACGTTTGTGAGACTGAAACAAAACAACTCAACCCTCCGAGCATTCCTGTAAAAAAAAACATGGACGTTGATTTCAATTTCAGGCCCAAAAACATGAACTCCATACAGTATGTGTACCATAGATTAAACATACTCCTTTAGTAGATTTGTCATCATTATTGATTAGCTTAAAACAATTATTGTTATTTAAACCTATTCAAAAAAAAACAAAAAAAACAAAAACGATTTAATCATAAACCATTGGTCGTCTCCTGGTTAGTGGTTATATTACAATAAATTAAAACTCACATCATAGAAGTAATCCTAAAATAATAGAAACAAAAGTAAGTCAAAACTAACGTCCAGTGTTACCAACATTAACTAAACGTAAAAAAAATTGAATTTACAATGTGATAAGAAGTTGACTTGAGTTATATTTAATGTGGTACTGCATCTAGGTTATATTTCCAAAGCAAAACAGAGCAACATTCTGGCCAACCATACCGATCCTTAGGTTTGAGGAGAAAATGAAAGCATTAATGGTGCTTTGGAGGGCATTGAATTTTTCTAAAACCTATTGCAAACTAAGATTAATATTTTTTCTTTAATTTTAAAGATAAATTCATCATTTTAAAATATTTAACACAACGTATTATATATTTAAACTTGATCCTGCAGATTGTTGTAAACCAATCAAAAGATTAGTTAATAACTTTTGTTTTGTGAGTGAGGGTGGTAATAATGTCTAGCACGCTACGCATTTATATGAATTATTTCTACCTTCTAACTTCAGAATCAGAATGCTTTACTAGCCAGGGTTTTTTTTATCAACTATGACTATTTATTTTTATTTTTAGCTATTAAAAAAATCCTCCCGGCCGTGCGCCTTCTGGGAGCTCGCGCCCATAGGCCCGGGCCTACCGGGCCTATTGGGAAATCCGGCCCTGGATGCCGTTAGTCAACTAAGCCACAATGTCTCTATAGCCAACTAGAACGGCTGCCAAAATAACCGCGTACGACACCAGAGCTCACGGGTGAGATTAAACAAACCACTTAAGCGCTAATGGTATAGAGGTAAACAGCTACCACGCACCAACAATGACAAGCTAAAATTGTAATACTGTCTTAAAGGGTTAAATGTTTTTTACACTGTGTAGTTAGTTTGTTTGCTTGTTTCTCTTGGAGGCCAAGGGCCAAGTTACGATGGCTCTGTGAGAATAAAGGCAAAACCACTGCTGTAGCTGGTGGCCACCAAAAGGAAAGCTACATGTGGCCAGTTAACTAGATGTCTCACAGAGCCTTTCTACACAGTGTAGTTAGTGAATTCTTGTATCACTAGGAGGCCAACTTACGATGGCACGGTGAGGATGGAGGCCAAACCACTGCTGTAGCTGGTGGCCACCAACAGGAAGGCCACATGTAGCCAGTTAACCAGGTGTCTCACAGATCCTTTTTCCACTGTACGGTTGCTTGATGCTTGCAACACTAGGAACCCTAATGTTCGTAGCAATGTGTCCTCCTTGGTTGTAAACCACTTGTAATTCTTCTCTTTTCTTTCTGTAAGTTTTTTCACATGTAAGTTACTATATTATAATTACATATCATGAAATATCTCACTGAGTAAAGCCTTTATTGAATAAATTGTAAATAAATGGTTGTGTTGCTAGCCTAGTGGTTAGCATCTCGGACTTCGGTGCGGGAGGGACGGGTTCATTCCCCGGCACAAGGGTAAAGGGTAAAAGGATAAAGGATAAAGGGTAAAATGTTAATTGTAATTTAACATCTGAGCATCCGAGTTGAATGATTAACCACAGTCAGATTGGAAACAAAAAGCAAAACTCTTTATGAATACGGATTTTAAATAAACTAATTTTTTTTTACACTGCATTAAAAACAGTGTTTTTCAATACATTGTTTGTGGATCTAAAACAGCTCTTCCTCACTTTAGAGAGTGAAAAGCTGGATTAAAAGTCAGCTTTTGTTAACTCAGTAGTAAACTCTGATTTTAAGCAATTACATGTATCAAATGTATGTATCGATCGTTATAATCGTTTTGTAGCTTATTGTTGCACTCTTGTCAATAGTTTAACTTATTGTTATAACTCTTTATAAATAATGAAAGCTAAATCAGGTAAAAAGTATATTATTTAATTAACACAAAGAATGGAAACTAACATAAACAATAACAATTTAAAGAATAAAGATCATATGATCAGCTGGTAATTAAAATACAGTCTATTAGAAACTATAACAATCTTCCTCACATAGTTTGAGCTCACACATCCTCGAGGTAACTTGGCGGTTGCCGAACACGTGTTAATCTGCTTAACTGAGGTGATTCATCTTCAATTCTGACTTCATCGGGAATCTGGATGTCTCATTCAGGATGCTGAGCCTCCACTACTGGTATTTGGCCAGTCATGGAACGTCGAGGTGGTTGATCTTCATTCTGACTTCATCAGGAAAATGGACGTCTTATAATTAGGATGCTGAGCCTACTGGTATTTATGGCCAGTCGTGGAACGTCGTTCGTTGTAGCGTATGACCACCCACAATGGTAGAACGACTGATTGTAGAACATTGAAATGATGGTATATCCCTGGAATATTGAACCTAACAGTACATCTTTGAATATCTTCTGACTGTTGATTAGTGGAATGTCTTTGATTATCTTCTCTCCGTTGATTTTGTTGTTTTAGGCGGTAGTCTCGTTCTTATGAGTTGATTGATATGCCTTTTGATTAAGTTTCCAGAGTCAAGCTTTACCATATAATGTAGAGAGCCCACTTTGGATTGGATGGTTCCAAATTCCCAGATTTCGACATTTCTAGAATAAAGGCGAATTCGGGCTCTATCTCCTACTCTCATCGATCTTACATGGTTTGTTAGCCTAACTCAACTGTATTTCTTTATTTTCCTTCTTTGGAATAAGAAATATGGCATCCAGCTCTATTATTAATCTTCTGTGCAAATAAAGCTCTGCTGGGCTTTTCCCACATGCAAGTGGTGTGGCTCTGGACAAGACATTTTACAAGATCTAACTAGGTCTTCTATGTCATAGTTCATCCCTTCCCAGTACACATACCGTTTCAGGTTGTTTCATTTTCGTTATATCATGTGTTGTGTGAAGTTCTCTCAAAATTGAACTTTTAAGGCTCTGTGAAATGACAACTCGATCTTGCCAAAAGACAAGTCCATCAAGAAGTGTGTAGGGTGTGTCTTCGTTACTTGTTTGTAGAGTTTTCATAGGAGATTTGAGATGAGGATCGTTTAATGTTGAACTTGCAATGGTCTGATTTATTTCGGTGAAAAGAGTGAACTGGCGTCAATACAAGTAGTACAACAGAAAACATAATAGCTAGTGCCTCTCAATCTAGTTGATTATAATTTTGTTCTGCAAGTGTTAGTGATCTGGATGTGTAAGCGATATGGCGTTCGTGACCATTTATGATGTGGCTAAGTATTCCTGCAATGCCAACAGGGGTTGCATCGCAAGAAAGTACAACTGGCAATTTTGGATCATAAGGAGGCAGGACCCTGTCACTGCAAATCTCTTGCTTGAGCTTTAGGAAGGATGATTCACATTCTGTCGTCCATTGAAAACGGTGTTTCTTCTTGGCAGCTCCCTTAAGCAGGGGGGACTTACTTATATTGTGAATTGTCCCTTATAAGGGACAGGACAATGTAGATAGATTAGGAATGAAACGTGAGTAAGTAGTAATCATTCCAAGAAATATTCTGACCTAATTAGTGTCGTGCGGTCTTGGCATTTCCATCACTGCCTTTATCTTCTCAGGAGATTTTCTTATTTTATTTTGCTCAATCAAGTGTCCTAAGTATTCAATCTTTGTCTAAAGAATGTGCATTTCTTTCAATTTAGATGTAGGTCCTATTCTGTTAGTCTTGTTAGACACATTCAAAGGTTGTGAGCACATTCTGCTTGGGTTGCTTTATGGACGACTATGTCATCCAAATAAGCTTCTCACTTATTAGGTCCATTGAGGATTGGAGGCAAAATTCTGTTGAATTCTGAGGGAGCGGTTTTTATGCAAAAACTGAGACGGTTCATGAGAAAAGTTCCCTTATTTGTAGACATAGTTTGGATTGCACTACTTTCCTTGTCCACTGCCAAATTTAAGTACGCTTTATAAAGGTGATGATTCCTTCTTTATCTAATGATTTTAACTCCTTTTCAACACGTTCTCTAAGTGCATACGGGACATCACGTTATTTTGTAAATATCGGTTTTGCGTCATCTCTTAAAGTCAATGAAACTTAATTGTTTGGAACGCAGCCAATTTTTTTTTCAAAAATTGAAGTCATTCAGAATGTGATTAATATCTTGAATGTTTTTTTCCGTCCCAACAATTCAAGGAATAAATATCATATGATCAGCTGGTAATTAAAATGCAGTCTATTAGAAACTATAACACTTATCGATAGTACAATCAAAGATTACATATGCTACGCAAAATAGATATTGCAGCCAAGCCATTTTTGTGATATCAAATTCCATGCGAGGCCTAGCGAATGTTTTTACAACCTAAGACTTAATTGCCGACATGACCATCTGAATATTTACATATTTTTTGTTATTGTTTATTGTGTTATGGTTAACCTTTATTTGTGCTTTTTCATTCATTAGAAGATTTTTTGAAGCTAGAAGTTTACTAGATAAATTAGCAGAGTGAAGAACGTGTGTAGTTAATTACGATTGTGTCATGATGTGTATATTTTCTTGAACAATGCCAGGTATTAAGAAGTGCTTTTTTATTGGTTGTCTATCTAATTGCATTAACAGTCCAAATTTAAGATTTTTCAAATTTCCTATTAAAAATAAGAGTGTCTGTGATAAATGGGTAGAAAACACAGCAAACGAAAAACTTAAAAACCTTCCTGACACTGCATTGCATTCGCGTTTAGTGTGTGAACTCCATTTTGAAACTGACTGCTACACAAATAATACAAGAAGTCAACTAAGTAAGAAAGCTGTACCAACACGACTGGTTATGGACTATGAATATACACCGGTTGTTACACAGCAATCTGCTCTCACTGCTGCCTCTACAGACGATCACCACTGTCTCGCTGTAGCTGGTCCATCATCTAGTGATACGTCTACAGTCAATGTTGTAGGTTTTCAATTTCCTCTAACATCCACAGAAACCACATGTAATCCAATAGATACCGTACACCAGTAAACGGAGACACAACTATACCAGTAATGTTTTAGATTTAAACACAGGAATATCCGAAGAACTATTGAATTTGTTGAAACAAAAAGTCAGTACAATGTCAGAAATGGAAAAAAATTCAGTTCTGGTGTTTGATGAAATGTCAATAAAGAAGAGCTTATGTTATAATGAGAAATTTGATTTAATAGAAGGCTTTGAAGACCTTGGGATACTGGGACATTCTGATCGGATAGGCACGCATGTACTATTGTTCGCCATAAGACGACTTTTTCAAACATGGAAAATGCCGTTTGCTTATTTCATATGTGCATCTGTGATTGATGGGGCCAATTTAAACGTACTCATCATGGACGTATTGAATGCACTTTTTAGCATAGGGCTAAATGTGCGTGTCCTAGTTTGTGACCAAGGGAAAATCAACTCCCGAGCCATCAATTTGTTGAACGTGTCCCCAGAAAGACCCTACTTTTCGTATCAAGATAGGAAAGTATTTTTTGTATATGACGCACCACATATCATGAAATGCATCAGGAATACTCTTATGAAACATGACATCAACTTTGATGGTGGAACTGCCTCTTGGAGGCACATTAAGGCTCTCTATGATATTGATTCAAAAGACAACAAGGCTAGAGCTGTTTGCAAACTTACTGAAAAACATATCAGTCCGAACACCTTCGACAAAATGAAAGTAAAGTATGCTACGCAAGTCTTCAGCCAATCTGTAAAAGCAGCTATGATTACGGCTGTGGGTACCGGAGAACTCCCTAAAGAAGCACTAGGGACTGCTGAGTTCATTGGAAATATGGACGAAATCTTTAACTGCCTCAACAGTAGAAGTTTATTTGACGCCAATCCGTTAAGGTGCGGTGTTTCAAACCACACTCCTCAAGGAAAACAAGTGATAGAAACACTTTGCAAGGCGTTGCTCTGGGTTGAGAATTTGGAGAAAATTGTTCCACGAAAACAAACAAAGGAAGGAAAGAACACTGAATCAAGACAAAACAAACCACCATGTTTTCATGGGCAACAATAATGTCTGTACTACTATTGTGGAAAACTTTAACTGAAGAGAAATGTAAATTTCTCTTAACAAACCGGCTGACCCAAGATGTCCTGGAACACGAGTTTGCCATATCCCGGATGCAAGGAGGTTTTGACCGAAATCCTTCGGCAATGAAATTCAGGCAAAACCTTCGCCGTCGAATCCAGGTTACTCTCATGAAGCCTCCATCTACAAGTAACTGTGAAGTTGATGACATATAGAAGAAACTTTGATAACGTTTACACCGGCACAACAGTCAAATCAGAAGCCAATAAATAAAGAGCGACTTCCGACATAGACGGAGAAGAAGACGTGGAGCAAGAACTAGAAACACGGACTTGGTGTATTGATTCAGATTTTGAGAATGAAGGCGGCCAAGAACCACATGCTCCTTATCCTAAACCTGACCTAAAAGTGCATACACTTGAAAACTGTTCGGTGCGGTAAGTAATTTCCTATGACCAGTATGTGTGTGTTTTTTTCTTTTGTTAATAGGCTCATGCTAGTTTTTATTTTAAACTTACCATTTGTCTTGGCTAAAACAAAGCAAATTTTATTTGTCTTCAAATGAGTTGTGATTATTAATTTATTATTTATTCAAGCAATAATAAATTAATAACCATGACTCATTTTAAGACAAATAATGACAAGCTTTGTTCTTGCCAAAACACAGCCATCAACAACAACGTTTACATCTCTCTGATCATTTCAGGTACGTTGCTGGATATCTAGTGTACGTCCTCAATAAGAAGTTTCCTTGCCAACGCTGCCGCTCTGAGTTAATGGAAGACATGCGGCTTGATGAACCGAACGAGTTGTTAATATTGAAACGCTCTTTCAAAACGAAAGATGGCATGAGTCACCTAACCGCGCCCTCCTCCCTTATGGTCCAAGTCACTGACCTAATGTTGACCTTGTTTCAAGAAAACTTTGAGAGACTTAAAAGTAGACTGCAGTATTGAATACCCTTGTGAATATTGCTAGGTCTAAACTAAAATCTATCAAGTTGCAAGTGAATGGTTGGCAGTTGACAAACCATGCAGTCGTCATCGCGAGTTTATGATAAGATATTGTATGAAATTGAAAATCAAGAAGCAAACTTTGTGGATGTCTAAAGCGATGCGAATTCCAAAATCGGAAAAGTCAACAACATCACAAAAGGTCACGAATGTCCAAAACCTGTAATATTGATAAACTGTTAAGGGTTCTCTTAATATAGGCTACGTTAAAACTCAATGCAAAAAAATATTATAGCATTTGTGCTTACTATATCTCTTTAACCTTGTATTTTTTGAGTATTTTTATCCACGTAGTTTCCATCAATAAAACCTTTTCTACCCTGTTCTCCTTTATCTTACCCTAGACTTTATATTTTGAATGTGGAATGTTAAATGTTAGCTTTGTAATTGTACTTTTTGTATAAAATAAAGTTATGGTACAACATTGATGACAGCTCTGTGCTTGTCATATCGCTTGACAGCAGCGTTTCCACACGACCAAAAAATTATACTTTAATACTTAAAAGAAATGGTGACCATACAAAGTATGTATTTTAAGCCAAGTTATATAGCTACTAGGTAGATCAATCCAGCTTATAAATTGTGAAAAATCGCGTTTCGTCCCGCATGATTTTTTTTTTTGTTCAATCATTAGTATTAAGTTATATTAGAAGTATCATGTTTTAAAATTTATTTAAACATTCTAGCCAATTAGGATTTTGATAAATTATTTTAAATCAATCGGATTTAGTTTTCTAAAAATTAAGTAGAAAATAATAAAAAATAGTCGTCACAGCCAAAAATCCAATTTTATCCTGCATCCCATTTTAATCCCTAGAATGGAAACACTGATTGACAGGTCAGCGCGTTGATGTAGTTGCGAAGAACAGGTGAGCGCGACCGAACATTACCGTACTTACCCGAACTTGAATCGGTAATGCAGATCGAGACTTGACACAGCGCCTCTGTTGAGGGACCACCCAACTATGTGAAGGTGGCCCCGTCCAAAAACGACTTGGCACAAAATCGCCGTAAGCTGCAATATCTATTTTGCGTAGCATATGTAATCTTTGGTACAATACACACTAACACAATCACAATAGACAAAGTGATTGAATCACTTACAAAACAGCTGATTGTAAACATTAGTAAAATTAAAAACAAGTTGGAAGTCGTTTAGAGATCTTTACATGAAAAATATTTTGTCACCATTTCATTGAAAAGTATTAAAGTATTAACGTTTTCTAACTTATTTTGCTTAAATAATGATGCAAAATCACAAAAAAAATATAGTTATAATCATACAGGCAAAAGTTCCTTTTCAACCCTCGCTCATTTTTGTGCCATTTTTGTGAAACTTGAAAATGAAATTATGCTTGGGTAAAAAAGTCACTTTACGCCCTATTTTGATAATTTGAAACCTGATTGAGGTATACTTTATGGTGTATACCTAAAAGTCTTTTTGTAAATTAGTAGCTTTATTCCCCTAATAACTGTCTTAAACAAACATAAGCTATGAAAAGTAAAAGGTTAGGCATTAAGGAAGGCATTTTTCGTTTTGCCTCAAAAACACATTTTGAACATTAAAATGTGCAAAACTTGCGCACGGGTCTCCTCGTAGTACAATAAATATTAAAAATTAAAAAGCCAATTAACTTTTAAAGTAAGGTAATGTAAATAGTCAAATACACCCCACTTTTAATCTACTCACTTTTGTGACAATTCTTCAAGAATGAAATTTCAAGCTTCTTAATGTAGTAAAGTGCAACACTGGCAACTAGTACAGCGCATAAAACGATGAGCCAAGTGAAGATGTTGAAAGGTCGGATTGGCAACAGCAGGTTGGACAATAGCTCTGGTCTAGGAGCTAAGCAGGTGATGCCTGTGCGGATGTAGGCTACAGAGAAGTCCAGGAACTTGTACTCGTGATACCACAAGTATAAAGCCCCCAGTCCGACATCTGCTTTCTCCACTGCCACGTTACCTAGGATCCCTGTCAAATTATATCTACTTGAGTATATCACAAGGGTACAGCGGTGGGAGGATGCCCCCTCCTACCTGGTGTATCAAGTCCCAAATTTTGGGCTTAAACTTGCTTAGGCTTACTATAAATCCTAAGCAAGTTTAGGCCCAAAATTTGGGTTCACCCTACCACAGTATAATACACCATGCAACAAGCTTGGTCTGTGATAAAATTTTTCATATAGTTCTGAGCTGTTTCCTATACATATCTAAAATAGTTTTACAATAGACATTTGTCATAAACAATTAATCTACAAAATTTAAAATTAAATCATCAGGTAAACACTAATAACAAATAGGGGGTTGTGTCTGTTTTGGGCGGTAGTTTGTAGCACTTTTAAGTCGATTTTAATAAAATTAAAACAAAGCAGTCAGATTCAGATTTTTACTAAAACAGAAAGTTTATTATTAACACTTTGCCCTGTTTGACTTCATAAGTATTAATAAAACTTGAATGCCGTACCAGTTTGGGTGGCAATTTGAGTGGCATATCATGGTTGCTTCAAAGAACAGTGGACTTGATAAGCTGTAAGAGAGTAGTAAAATAAAAGATGAATATGTCCATTAAGCCTGTGGTTATATTGGCTCTATTCATGGAAAAAAATCAGCTCAATTGCTCAAGTAGTTTTCATTTTATTGATATACTCCAAACATTTATATCTATAATATTAGTTCCTTCCATCCAAGTCATTGACTTGATCAGTAATGCACTAAAATTATCAACACGCCACTCCCTTTCCCAGACAAAATACATTTTTATAAAAAATTTGGAAAAAAAATAAAGTCAATAAGTTGACGAATTATGCTTAAAAATAAAATTACCCTATTCACACAATACCATAACAATTTAGTATTTGTTAGTAGTTCTCGTGTATTACAGTTTTTGTTGCTGCTTTGCTCAGATTAGCTGTTATAATAAATTCAAACAAAAATTGAATAGTGCTGCACCCTCTGTTGGTAAACCTTGTAACTTTTTAATGCTATTGAACATCATAGAACTTATGAATTGTTCCAAGAACACCAAACAGGAAACTTCATTACCAAATCCAGATCAAAACTGCAAACCATTACTCAAGGTATCCCCCAAGGCTCAGTACTGGGACCCCTACTCTTTCTGATCTACATAGACACCTTTCCTACCCTCCTACCAGCAGATAACATATGTATAATGTTTGCCGACGACTTGACCATAATAGTCCCGGGCATGCCAACACCCAACCTAACAGAAAAAACAATAGAATCAGCAAAAAAATCTGCAATAGCCTTAATCTCCGAATCTAAAACTGTCTGCATGAAATTCAGACCAACAAACAAACCCTCAACTCAAGAAGACATCCACACAACAAATGAAAACCACACAAAAAAATTCCTCGGCATCATTCTTGACCAGCAACTAGACTGGCACCCCCACTTGGAAAAGTTCCAGCGAAAACTATCATCAGCTATCTATGCCCTTAGAAGACTCAGAGAAATCACTAATGAAGCAACTACAAAGATGGTGTACCATGGAATCTTCGCTTCACACCTCAAATTTGGCTTAATTGCATGGGGAAGTGCCAGTGAAAGTGAACTAAAAGAGGTACAAATCATTCAAAAGAAAGCATCCAGAATCATTGACCAATCCCATTACTTTGAACACTGCAAGCCCCTTTTCATAAAACACCAAATCCTAACCCTAAACTCTCAATACGTATTTGACACAATCAATTTTATAAAACAAAATCCGCCTGAAAGCAGACAAACATGCCACAACCACTTGTTGGTCGATAAAAGGTGTTCAGCAAAGTTTGATTTCATGGATGTACTGTTGTTACCAACCACAATTACACAAATTTAAAAAACAACATGAAAATTCTAAAAGTTTTAAACAAAGGAAATCAAATGGATTCAACTGAAGAATATTTCATATACGAAGAAAATCTAAAAAATCCAAATCATATTTTAAATAGCCAAATTCCTTCAAGAAACCCAATCTTTGACCAAATTTTAAAATTAAATAATCAGTAACAAAAATGTTTTTCCAAATCCTGTCTAGTTCTATAAATCATCTGTATATATATAAATTATATTTATTTACAAACAAACAATATAAACAACAGTTAAGTGTTTAGTATATTTTGAAGTTTGAAAATGGACTAATGTCCGAAACATGTCACTTCTTTTTATAAAATATAATATTCAGGGTGCTCAGTTGTACTTATTCACTTAAATATTTAATATATCAGCAGCCCTATTACGTGAACACCTAAATCAATATATATATATTTATATATTTAATATTTTACTAATATTTTAATATTTTAATATTTTTAATTTAATTTTAATTTTAATTTAATTTAATAATTTTAATTTAATTTTAATTTAAATTAAATTAAATTAAAAAAATTAAAAATTTAATTAAATAATTAATTTAAATTTAATTTAATTAATTTAATTAATTAATTAATTAATTTAATTAATTAATTAATTTTAATTTAATTTAATTAATTTAATTAATTAATTAATTTTAATTTAATTTAATTAATTTAATTAATTAATTAATTAATTAATTAATTTAATTAATTAATTTAATTTTTTAATTTAAATTAAAAATTAAATAAAAAAAAAATTAAATTAATTTTAATTTAATTTTAATTTTTAATTTTAATTTAATAATTTTATTTTTTTATTTTTTAATAATTTTAATATTTTAATATTTTATTTATATATTTATATATATATATTTATATATTTATATTTATATATATATTTATGACAAGATTTTCATCAGATCTTTGTATATACTACTAGATAAATGCCTCTTTACATTTTTAGTCCAACCAAACGCCTTTCCTTTTAGTAACAAATTATTAAGTGGTCCAGTAAGGTCGACCTATGTTTAAGAGTGTAATTGGCTAGACCCAAAAATATTTTACGCTATCCTGGAAATAATTATAGATACATTTATCTTTATTTTACTTGCTAGAACGACTTGATCAAAGCTGTGTGTTGCTCCCGCCCGTGTGGCCAGGGGCAGAGCGTGAAAACAAGCATAACAAATGCACCCTAGTCCATTCTTCTGCGGGCCCGCGGCGGGTGATTTTGCAGACGCGCCTTATCTGCGTGAAAATACATTTAATGCTGCCCATATTTCTCGCGTTTTTTCACGCTGCGTTCTTGCGTGAAAAAACGCCCGTGTGGCCGTAGCCTAAATGACCATGGAAACTATTAAAATCAGTAAGTATACAAAACTCAAGAAAAAAGAGGTAAACCTGTGAATCCAAATTTATTTTTAGCAAATTTTCCATATAGAGAATATAACTATATGCGAATATCCCATATAGGGAAAAACAATTACCGTAGTTATCATGGTTAGGCCTAGACACGGAACTAATTAACTTTTTTGTTTTGATGTCTTCAGAGACCAAAAAAACCATCTATTAAAATTGATGGTGTAACAACCTTAACTGTGCCACCATCTCTAAGACTGTTATTTTTAGAGCAAACAATATAAAAAGCCCAATGGCGAGAACTTCAACTTTTTTTGAGCGAAGCTCTTATACGTCGACTCTTATGCAATTCGTAATACGCAAACTCCTCCTAGACGGCTGAATCAATAGTGTTGAAATTTTGTATGGTGATAAAGACCATATCGGTGAGTGCCAACATCTATATGGCGTTAAAAAAGTCTCTCAGGAATCCGCCCCACTGGGTCTCAAAGATTCAATGTAATTCTTATGGAAGCAGTATTTGACACACAAACAAAAACATATGATCAGCTGTTGACTTTTGAACGCAGTAGATAAAGAAATAGCTGATAGGATTAATCCACAGATATTAGAACAGAAACGGTATGGATCATAAATATAATCAAATGACTACACTAGCTTAAGGTCTGTGACGTAAGAAGTGGTGAAGGAAGTAGTAAAGGTGAGCAGTCTGGATTGTGGAAACTATATATGACGATTAAATATCTGCATTAATGAAATCCTATGGGAGGGTAGGAAAACGGGTCCGCGACGTAGGAAGTAGTGAAGGGAGTAGTCAAGGCGAGCTCTCCGGAGTGTGGGAACTGTTTATGACGAGTATATTAAGGTATCTGTAATCCTAAAATGCTATGGGAAGGGAAGGAAACAGGTCCGTGACGTAGGAAGTGGTGAAGGAAGTAGTAAAGGCGAGCTGTTCGGTGTATGGGATCTGTTTATGACCATTAAATTAAGGTATTTGCAATCCTAAAATACTATGGGAAGAAAGGAAAACAGGTCCGCGACGTAGGAAGTGGTGAAAGTAGTCAAGGCGAGCTGTCTTGAGTGTGGAAACTGTTTATGACGATTAGATTAAGGTAACTACAAACCTAAAATGCTATGTGATCGTTTCCACTATGGGAAGGGAGGAAAATGGGTCCGTGACGTAGAAAGTGGTGAAGGAAGTATTAAAGGTGAGCTGTTCGGGGTATGGGATCTGTTTATGACCATTAGATTAAGGTATTTGCAATCCTAAAATGCTATGGGAAGGGAGGACAACAGGTCCACGACGTAGGAAGTGGGGAAGGAAGTAGTCAAGGCGCACTGTCCGGAGTGTGGAAACTGTTTATGATGATTAAAATAAGGTATCTGCATTCCTAAAATGCTATGGGAAGGGAGGAAAACAGGCCCGTGACGTAGGAAGTGGTGAAGGAAGTAGTCAAGGCGAGCTGTCCGGAGTGTGGGAACTGTTTATGACGATTAGATTAAGGTATCTAGAATTTTAATATTCTATGGAAAGAGACGGAAACAGGTCCCCGACGTAAGAAGAGGTGAAGGAAGTAGTTATGTGAGCAGTGTGGAGTGTGGGAACTGGAAACCGTTTGTAGCAGTTAGATTAATGTATCTGCAATGCTGAAATGCTATGAGAAGGGATGGAAGCATACCCACAACATACAAAATGGTGAAAGAAGTAGTAAATGCTAGCAGTGCGGAGTGTGGGCAATGTTTGTGGCAATTAGATTAACGT